TACACCCTGTTACTGCTAAGTTTACGTCTCATAATTTAAACAACACAATTAACGAGATTGAAGCTGGTTTTGGGGACCCAGTTAAGTATCCTCCATGAAATCCACATTTTCGGTGGTTAAAGAGCTAACAGCTTATTTGTTTTGTTTTAATGTTCTGTATTTTAAATTGTTTTATTTAAGTATCCCACTAATGTCTGTTGCATCTTTTAAATGTATTGTATTTACTTATTTAAAATTAATTGTGTTTTAGGTTGACTTTTAAAATCTGTCCAGGGACTACAGATGAAAATTAGCCTCTTGGCTAACTCTGGCACATTTACAGAAATGTTCATTAATGTGCACTGTCTCTGTAAAATAAATTAATACATAAATTAAAAAATAAATAAAACAGTTGGCTAGATGTCAGTGTAACATAGCTAAAAACTAGCTGATGGACTCATGTACGTCTAAGTTGACACTTCAGAAGGTATTTTAACAGCACTCCAGTCCTTCCTGTATGACTTGCACTCAGGGACAGAGCAGTAAGAGGACATAATGTCAAGCGTAAAATGCTTTGCAACAAACCCAAGCATGGAAATCAAGATCGCAACACGTATGGCTTTACAGGCCCACTCTGGCAACTCTTTAATCAGGAACGTCGTGATCATAATTTTGAATTCACTCGTGAGATTTTGGTTTTTGCAATACATGAAATGTCAACCAGGACCAACGTGGGTTAAGTATCTCGCACAAAGAGATGTTGGCTGCAGGGTCTGGTGATTCAACCCCTGACCCTGTGATTGGTAGATAGGTTGCCCACTTATCATCTGAGCCGCAGCCACCAATAAGTGGTAAAATGGTCGTCTGACACTTGATCACTTCATTTACCAACAGTGTCATGTAAGAGAAAAACGTAGCCAACATTACTATCCAACAGAAAATCCACTAAGCACTCCTCACAGTTTCTTTATCAGTTCACCGCACCATGGTTTGATAAACTGGAGTTGCACAGTGATGCACAAATAAAGTAATGATTAAGAAGAACTAAAGCCAGACTTTATTCAAACCAGGCGCGCAGAGAAGCACAATAAGGACTCTGTCTGCTGAAAATGAAAGAGAACGCTGTGTGGGCCAGACTTCCTACAAGTTTGTTCCATTGCACTTGAGGGCAGGACCATTATTTATGCCAATGAGCAGGATGAAGTCTTCAAACTGTGACATGTGACTCCGGGACCCCTTGTGGTGCAGAATGGAAAGACATGCACAGGAGTGTCAGGGAATATTAATATTATATTAATAATAATTGAATATAAAGAAAATAATAGAAATCCACAATAATATCAAATAAGATGGGAAATAAAGTACATTTGTTAAAATAAGATGTAGGGGAAAATAGGGATGAAACAGAATACATACATTAAGATGCATAACATAAGATGGGAAATAATAATAATAATCATAATTTTTACGAAAAGGTAGATGTTGCTGCACATTTTTTATTAAGTAAATGTTGTTATGTTTACCCCTTTTCTCTAAACTCTTGTCTTTGTCACTCTGCAGACAGTGAGATCACCTCCAAGCCCATGGTTTTGTTCCTGGGACCGTGGAGTGTCGGCAAGTCCTCCATGATCAACTACCTACTGGGTCTCCATGGTACTCCACAGGAGCTTTACACAGGTTCGCACTGATCCCACCTGATGCATGTGATACAGTCATATTCCTTGTATACCAATTGTAAACCAGAGTGGTGTTGAAAATCACTTAACCCTTACTGTATGTTGTGTTCGGGTCTCCCGTGACCCGTTTCAAATTAAAATTATATAATAACTACGCTCTAGTTTTTTTTATCGGAACAGGCTTCATGATATCCTCCACAACAGCTATATAAACACTACAAAACTGATTTTGACAATTTTAGCCAAGTCTGAAGGTCTCTATAAAGAAAAAATGTGTATCATTTGGTGTTTGGGTCTGGGAAGACCCAGCGGAATTGTTGTGGGTCACTCCGGGTCAAATTTGGCCCAATCAAGATTCATCTTTGACTTTAGACAGCCCTCCCCCACCCCCTTCATCCACTGTAACAATAATTTTTCGCAACATGCACCTGGTCTCCCCTCCCTCTGGCCCCCCTCCCCCCACGGGAACTCCACCTTTCACAAAGAATATGTACACTAACACTTGAACCTGAACACACACATGCACGTGTGCAATATGTGGTGTAATGTGTTTTGGGGCTATCGAATAAAATAACAGGATTGTACGGTTATGAATGCATTAGAAGTTAGTTATGATGTAGTTAAAACAATATTGGATGATAGTCATTATTTTTGAGTGTTTTGGACTGAAATATATCATGGGTCCAAATTGACCCGCGAACACCATGAACGGTAACAGCTTCCGAACACAACACAAGGATTAAGAGACTTTGACACATTACATTCTGGCTCAATGAGGCTTTTGTTTGTGGGAAAAAGCCTCTTGTGTGATTGGATTTCATCATGTATGGTGTTTGAGAGGCGATGCAAATCTTACAATAATGTCATTTTGTCTCCATTTGACCACATATCTTCAGGAATAGAAACAACATTTAGTTCGACTTAGGCCAGTAATTTTAGAGGACTTTAGCATGGGTATGTTCTTCACTTTGTCCCATCTAAATATGTTAGCTAACACAACACAAGAGTTAAATATATCAACCAATCACATGAATAATATGTTAGGGACAACAACAGCATCCCTGTAGCTCTTCTGGCCTTTTTGACATGGACACATTAAAAGGATTTATGAATATAGGCACACAATTCCTGCATCTTCAATACAAATAAATGCTATTTTAAACCAAATATTTCTTGTTTCTTTCCATGTGTGAGAGACGGTAGAGAGGGCAGGAATGGAGCAAGAAACAGTGAAGCAGATATACCATTATTCACCCGACTGTGTTTGTGTGTTAGAGGGCAGCTCCCAATTTTTCATGGTCAGTGTGTGTGTCATTTTTTTTTCGAGAGTGACAAATTGTGGCCTTCTGCTCTGAGATAGAGGCACCAACTGTATAGCCTGCATAATTCATGAGGAGTGGGAGATATGGTGTCTGCCATCATCACAAAGCTACAGTCAGCATGTTGAGAAGCTCGTACATTTCTCCATCTGCAAACAGAAACTGATACACAGAAAACAGAGGCATCATGGTGCAAGATAATGATAATATTAAGTGTTCTAAATAAGAAGCTTGATTTGTGATGGGGAAAGAAATAAACAAACACATTTTAACCTAAATGAAAAGAATACAATCAATATGTCCTAGTATGTTAAGACTATGTACAGACAAATAAACACAATCTGTATTCCTTATAATGACATTTCTTTCACAATTCAGCATAATGTGTGAGATATACAGTACTGTGCTTTAGTTCTGATGTTGGTCATTTTTCGTAGAGAAACAGCGCCATCTTGTGGTGTGAAAGCAGACAAATATTCAACATTTTCATTCAATGCTGCCAAACTTTCTTTTTGTATTCATTATCTATGCGGTATTCAGATTGAAATGATAAAAGTGCAATCATTTTCTGACAAAAGCATAACGATCCTTATCTTTTCATAATCCAAGTCTGCTCACTTCAGTTGCCAGGGTTGATTCTTGTACCATTTCTAATCTAATTCTTTAATATATCTCATCTTTTATTTCTTTAAAAGAATGAATAAATCTCTGCAATTATGGTAAAAAATAAAGCACAAATTAAATGTTGTATGCAGGAGGAATAACTGTGTCAGCTTGCACCTCCAAAACACTCCCTAAACTAATCTTTATCATTATTATTATGTTATTGTGGTGCAGAGTGAGTTGGAGATATAGAATTTCATTACCGAGGTTATGTTTTCCGCTCGGTTTATTTGTTTGTCTACAAAATCACAGAAACACTTCTGGCCTGATTGTTATGAAACTTGGTGAAAGTGTGNTTGATTCTTGTACCATTTCTAATCTAATTCTTTAATATATCTCATCTTTTATTTCTTTAAAAGAATAAATAAATCTCTGCAATTATGGTAAAAATGAAGCACAAATTAAATGTTGTATGCAGGAAGAATAACTGTGTCAGCTTGCACCTCCAAAACACTCGCTAAGCTAATCTTTATCATTATTATTGGAGATATAGAATTTCATTACTGAGGTTATTTTTTCCGCTCGGTTTATTTGTTTGTCTACAAAATCACAGAAACACTTCTGGCCTGATTGTTATGAAACTTGGTGAAAGTGTGAACCCAGGGATCAAGGGAACACCTTTTCAATTTCGGAGCTGATCTGAATCACGCGTTAGATATACCGATTATTTTTCACTTTAGTTAACATTGCAAGATAGGGCAATTGTGCAGCATTCATGTGTTAGATTAATTGGAAAAAAATATTTCCCGACGATGAAGAATCATGATAGCGTTCTTCAAATCGGATCAACAGCTCAACTAGATAAGCATGTTGTTTTAACAAGAGCAATACAAAAACAAAACATCTTCTTCATAGATACACATGTATGTCGTATCCACAATAAGTCCTAAGAACAAAATTAAAAAAAGCACCTGAATGCACCATTGGTCTGGAAGGAGGTCTGCACTTGACATTCTAGTTATTAAATTAAACATGTAATGTAAACACCTGAACATCCACAACATTCATCTGCTACTTAGTAATGATTTATCTAATATATCATATTCCAATAACTTGCATATAGACTCTTATTGCACTATTTCACTTTTTTAAACTATTTTCTTTTGTATTACTATTTACTTGCACTATATTTTCCTGTTTATCTGTGTTATTGTGTTGCACTGTTGGAGAAGCCTGTGACCCACGATTTTCCTCGGCATAACCACACTGTAGCTATGTTCGTATGACAAAATAACGAACCTTGAACCTTGTAAGAAACGGAATAAATAAAGAATAGTAGAAAATGAGAGTTGGGACTTGCACTGTTCTCACAGCTCTGGATATTAAGACAATACAAAACAAGTAAATAAAAGCAAGAGAAGACTTCAATATCTCTTTTTTATTAATTCTGACACACTGCGGTCAGATAGAAAAGTATGAGAGTTACACTTTTCAAGTTGCTTCCATGACTTGTGCAAACACTAGACGGTATCCGGGGAGAAATCCTCTGAAGGAAAAGAAAGGAAATGGAAAAAGAAAGACATCGAAATGCAGAAGAAATGAATAAGTGCATTTAAACCTATGTGTTGATTCTTTATGCAGTATTTATTGATTCCCAGCTTCATATAAACTGGATGTTGAGGCATAAACATAGTACATTTGAACAAAAATATAACCAATATTTACAATTATTGTATTAAAAATACAAAAACAACTGATACGTACTCCACCAATTGTCTTTTTAAAAGACATACAGGTCAAAGTAGTACAAGAAAGAATGAAGAAAAGAAGGTCATCACCAGCTAAATGTACATTTCTCACTGACATCACACACCAAACGGAGTAGCAGTTCTACCTACTACACTTATCTTTACGCTTGTACATTTTTGTGCAACTTTTTTGTTTTTAGAAACAGGCCTCGGCCCCGCTAATATGCACATTATCTTCAGAGTTCGATGAAAGTGAATGATGCATGTCACCACCGTATTACAAACAAATTATTAACAATCTATCTGCAGCCATTACAAAAAGAATTACGATAACAAAAAAGGGAAACCCAGGAAATCATTAGTGTATAGTCACAGACCACAGTGGGGAAACACTCATTCATCTTTTTCTCAGTCTGTAGTTTCCGAGACTGATCAATGTGATCAGCGCGACTCAGTGTGGAAGAAAAACACAACGGTACTTTTCACAACTGGATTCACGATCGTTCTGATTGGCAGCCTTGAAAAAAAAAAGTTTTCTTCATATGTCAACTTCCTCACCGGAGTCAAAACAATTAAAAAAAAAAATCAGTCACTTCCAATAGTGGAAAACTGGATGCAGGAAATGTGACTTACATACGGCGTCCACTGAGCCGATGTAACGGAGAGGAGATTCTGAGGATGAGTTTCTGAAGGGACCGCAGAGGGAGAGGTGTCCTCAGTCTGAAGCCACGCGGAGAACAGAACACAAACAAAATGCTTGGCTTCATCTTGTACTGAGTCTTCGCAAAAAGTCTCTTGAATTGGGTTGTCTCTTGAATAAGGCATTTCACTCCACTATTGCTTGATTCAAGACTTCTCCTGAAACAAGGTGATTTGTGACGGGAACGACCATGCAAAGAAATGTATGCAATCATGGCATCGTAAGGCGCTTTGGACATTCACAAAATGTGGCATTATGTTCAGGGAGAAGGGAGAAAGAAAAAAAAAGCCTAATTTGTGGATATCTTTTTCTCAAAGGGTTTGTTATAAGACTCTGTACAAGATCATCTGTAACAAGGTAGATAGTTAAGAGGTACACTCACAATTGTACACGTTGGCAGCTTCTGAAATATGCTGATGTGTGATCCCTTAAAGCCAAAATAAAGGAAGGAGAGGCAACTTTTCTTAAAGTCAGAGAGCGCTCGCTACCTGCTCACAGCTTGGATTCACTTTCTTCCAGGCTCCATTTCATTAGGGCAAAACCTCCAGGGTTAAATCATCCTTCTCTCCTCTGATGGAGTCCAACATGTCCGCTCAGCTTTCCGTGGGGGGTTCAATGTCCTCTGTGCTTTTTGATATCACCCACAGAAAACATTATACTCTGGAGCAAGCAACAGGATGAGGGAAAAAGACTTTGATATGACCAAAAGGAGCTCGGCAGATATGATTCACTCGGGCCAAATGTCTGGTAACATCTAGGATTGTGCTGAAAGTGCTGTTTTTAAAAATGTGTGTATGTGTGTGTGTTTGTCAGTACACTGTGCATGTTGGCTCTTCTTTATCAGGCTCTCCTCCCAGCTTTGATTTAAAAACCAACACTTGATAAGCGTTCACATGTGATAATACTGGATGCAGAGTTCAAGACACTCGTAAGATGGGTTGTTTCAGTCCTGGGCCAACTCAGTTTCAATTGTTTTCGGCCGCCAAGAGTGCAATCAGTCCGAGGAAATAACACAAAAAAAAGAAATGAAATCTAACGGGAAGGTGTTTCCTCAAGTCTGCTTTGTTTTTATTTGTTCTGTTTCTCCGAAAGTAGAAAATGACAAAGTGCAGAGGAAGTTCGACACGTCATGATGCTGTTGTGTTGTGTTTGTGTCTCTCCCACAGCAACATCTCTCTGTGTGTGTGTGTGTGTGTGTGTGTGTGTTTATGTGTGGGTGTGGGGCCAGGTCGACCCCTCCTCCCAGCACCAGTTTTATTTCTGTAGTCTTTTTATCCAAAGTGCCAGGCGTTTTGTCCTCGTCTTTTTCTCTCCTTCTCTTCTTCACAGTATTTTTTGCATGCAGGGTCAGTCAACCCCCGATGATGCTTTAAGGCAGGGGAGGGAGACGAGCGGAGGAATCCACCAATCAGGAGGGAGAGCCGAGTGGAGGAGGCAGGCACGTACGTAACTGATGATGAATAGTCCATTGGTCTGTCAGTCTCTTAAATCCTGCCCCCCCACCCCAAAACCAGGGGGACTTCGGTTTACTGCAGAAGGACGTCCGCTGGCCCCTTAGACCGCTGACACCTGTTCATCCTCTGTGGAGAGAGACAGGAAAGGTTACTTCTAATGTGGACGTGCAGTGTATGAACTATCTTTTAAAGTTACAAAAGTAGTGAGGTGTGCACTTTAGTGAAAGGTGAAATCTAAAGAGGAACTACAGCAGTGTGGAGTTAGAATGAAATGGATTCCTGACAAACACTTTTCTTTAGGGCAGCGTTTCCCAACACGTGGGCCGCGGCCCCCTAGTGGTCCGCGAAGGCATTGCAAGTGGGCCGCCAAAAAATTTGCAAAACATTATGATTTGTGTGGAAACATTTAATTATTAAGATATGTGTATATTTGAACCTTTTTTCCTTTCTCTTTCTTGATCCTCCTTAGCAACGGTCATTACAGTCCTTGACTGTAACAACTACTGGATTAACAACGTGTCACATGTTCTGAATTGACCAATCAGGACTTTATTTAGCCTCCGTATTGTTTATGGTTGAATGTGGGCCGCAACATTTTTTTTAAATGCTTAAGTGGGTCCTGAGTTGAAAAAAGGTTGGGAACCGCTGCTTTAGGGTTTATGTCACTATGTGAACATCAACTTACAGTGACATCTTTTTAATATTATTGACTCATCAAATAGCATCAAATATATCACTCTGGTTTTGTTTTGAGGTTCCCTGGGACGTCTTTTCTTTAGAGGCAACATTTGCATTATCATTTTGACTTAATTTATAGTGATTTTTCTTCTGTCTTTTAAGATACGCTGCTCATTAACAGATGATGACAGATGTTTTGTTGGTTACATATTTTCTCAGCTATATTAACCCATGTTGTCTTTTATGTATTTTCTTGTATATTAACAGAAGGGTAGTGTATACAGATTGCCTTATAAAGTTTTACAAAATGCAAGTTTTATCAATTTGAAGTCTGTTACGATTAGATTGCCATGCACTGAAATGAACCACCTAGTTGGTTCTCTGCAAGCGCCTTTTGTTTTATACAATATTTGTATTACTTATTTATTGTATTCTAAAAGGGACTGTGGACGGTTAAACTATGAAACATTTGTCCGTCAAAGGACGAAAAATAAAAAATAGCATTAATATTGTTTTTTGTTGAAGGGTTTTATTTGGTGATTCTTAAATTAATATTTTCTTTTTATACTTCCTACTTTAACTTCTTGTACCAAATAAAACCCTTCAACAAAAAACAATATTAATGCTATTTTTTATTTNCAGAGACTCTGGATGATCCTGCATCATGTAGAAGCACTCTTTATACACACAGGTGTCTCGTGTTTTACCAAGGATATCATACTCTGATCAAATCAGGATCATCAGAAACAGAATTGTTATTTATCCCATGGGAAATGTTGTTTAGTGACAATAACGTTTAAAAAAAGATAAATAAAAAATGTGTATATCAACACAAGATGTTAAAGTAGGAAGTATAAAAAGAAAATAAGATATATTTGTCTGATTCATTTAAGAATCACCAAATAAAACCCTTCAACAAAA